ATACTGAAGATTGGGAAAAATGTTTGAGTGAAATGTGTGTCAAACATTTGATCACTAATTGTCCCAAAATTGCTTTCATTCGCTTTAAAACCTGGCTTTAATTCGTTTTCAATAATTAATCTTAATTTTCATTTAATATATCAATACTTATAACCATTTTTGAGTCCTAATATCTCCCATAAATGTCCTAAAATTTTGTTACATTTCGTTTAAAACAATTTAATTTTGTGTTTTAAAGTTTTTATTCATAAATGTTTTAGTAATGTATTAATAATATGAACACTGAATATCCGTTTCCCTCATCTAAACTAATGTATGAATACATTCACTAAACATATTATTTAATTCTAATTAACTATTATTAACTAATTAAGTTACAACTAATTTTTATTCAAACCTTTGTTTTTTATCCAATACTTACTGTAAAAGACTTACTTTACTTTTCAAAGATTACAATAATATTATTATTAAATATATATTTAAAACTTTATAAATACGTAAAGATTTTAAATACATGTATGAAAATGAAGTGATAACTAATTGATTTAACAAATAATTTAACAGTAAAATTCAATTTTATTTTTTTGTGATTTAAAATATGATTTAGTGATTATTTGCAAATAGTGTTAGTATTTGTTAAATATATTTATAATGAATATATAAATTTACATTATATTGAATGGAAATATTGATTTATTTATATAATTAAAATGAGATCTGAAAATCAGTTTTATTTATTTATAACATATTATAATATATTATGAATTATTATTTGTTTATATCTTTTTTAAAACCATTTAAATCTTCGTATGAATTAATTAGTCAAAATATTTATATTAATATATCATATAATTAATTATAATCTATCTTAACATATATAATATGTAAAACATTTTGTTTGTCTCAACACTTCAGTTGAAACCCAAGTCTTTCGTTAATTATATATAATTTTATATATAATTTATAATTAAATACATGGTTTGGATTCAGATTAACGCATATAATAAACACTTGAATTTAAAATGATAACCATGGTAGTTTAGGAACAAATTAATAGTTGGTATAAAAACTAAAATTACAATTTATATAAACGATGAATGTAATTATTAAAACTCAATTAAAAATAGGTCTTTTCACAAAACAATTAACATTTAATTAGATTTACAATTAATAGCGGAGATTATTTATAATCATTAAAAATATGTGTCTTATTAGAAAATAATTGTCTGTATTTTGTTTGTATTAATAACACTATATTTATAAATATAATTATAAATTGATTGAAAACAAAAATAATGGTCTAATTATTCTAACAATTAATATATTTATATAAATATTTATTAGATTTTTAGCCCTATTTTTATAACAGAGATATTTAGGAATATTGTGTATATTCCGTAAACATATACGATATTCACCGGTTTGTTTCAAACACTCTTTTCGTGTAAAAATTAATTAAAATATTTATAAATTCATTAAATAATTGTAATTAAATGTAATTATAATTTCATACATAATGTGTGCCAAATATATGGCATAACTTATTGGAGAATACAATTGTGCTGTAAATATGTATAGATTTATAATAGAAATTCTGTGCCTTATTATAGCCTATCATATAAAATATTTAAACAATTCAAATATTTATGTATAATATTATATACTCTCGTTATAGTGAACATAATTTGATGACAATATTTAGTTATATTGTTTATTTGAATGTTTTCATAGTTATTGTGTAAAATAAATTATAGCTTATTTTATGGCATATATCGGTATAAAAGTTCACTATAAAGAGAATTAATAATATATTTAGAATTGTAATCAATTAAAATTGTTATATTAATCATTATACGGGGTGTGTATTCATGTATAGTGTAGTAAACAATTTGATTGTCATTTATATTAAATATTTAATTATTTATTTTATAGACAGTAATAATCATGTATTGAATGGATGTTTAAAATTTGAAAATCGCTATCAATTACGGATACAATTAGTGAGCGGTCTATCATTAAGATCGTCGCGTTTGCATACTTGACCTTAGATGCAGTTCCCCGTAGACCCACATATTGGGTCTGCCCATCATCTGTTGCCAAAGAGCCACTTCATCGCCCACTGAGTCCATCCAATCGCACGTTTTGCCATCAAATTTGCCTAAAAAATTGTGGTAAAAATTATCATTAATATGTGTTAACAGAGTTGACACCGTTTTAAGACATGCGAATTAGTTGTGACACAAAATCGCATACCGGAGCCCATACCGAGCCGTACGCCTCCCAGGAAGTCATTGCTGGTGATCTTGTCGTAGTCCCAAATTGTCAACTCCAGGCACCGGTGCCTCAGGTCCTGTACGGACAGGTCCTCGAAGACAAACGTGTGGTTCCACTTAGGATTGCAGGTCTTCTTCACGACCGGTGTCTTCTGTTTCGACGATTTGCTCTTTTCGGGCAACAGATAGCTGTCGGAGAGTAAAAGAGACGGTTAGTTATGTGGTTAAGAGTGGTCTACGAATACTAGGCGTTCAGATAACAC